TTAATTTCACAATAGTTCAAGCTCCCAGGTCTGGCCAACCTATGATCTAGTGTTAGGGCTAAAGGAAACACTCACCTCATCTTGGAAACTGTCTCAGTAGGGAAATAAGGCCCTTCGATTCCTGCTAAAAGTCTCCAGGAGTGTTAGCAGCACAAGATTTTCCTGCCTGCCACAGCCAAGTGCAGAAACTATAATAGATGCAACTTATATTTAGATGATTTCAGCTCCTGACATTTATATAGTATCTGTATTTAGTTACGAAGTGTTTTCAGTTCAAATTGGCTTACAATTAATAGAGTTGCCTTAAGAAGATAACTGGTCGTTTCTCTTTAGTATATGCATTTTAATATACACATAGTGGAACTCCATCTTCTGGCCAGACTGGAGTGACTAATGCCAACTGCCCTTCCACTGTAAATACTCAAACAGCTGGAAAATGAGGTGAGGACACTGTTTGCATAAATTGGTCACTGCACTAAACAGTGGACCCTGAAGGACTGGGGTCCCCAGGAGAAGTGAAACACAGGACGTGAACACCACATTCCCTCTGGCGCTCTAGCTGGGGACAATTTCTTGACTTCAGAACCGGAAGGTAGAACTCAAACAGAGCGGTGCAATTCTGCTGAGCAGTAAAAGCATAGTTTGGAGTTTAGAGTTTAGGATACCAGAGAGAAGGGAGCTGCACTAGGGAAGGGGAAGGCAGAAGTGGGAAGGAGGAGAACTCTGTCTGATACCCCTCTGGGCCCAAGGGGGCTTCACATCACTCCAAGAGGCCTAGCAGAGAGAGCTGTTAGAGGGTTTTTAAAAGGAACAGAGACTCTAAAGATGCACAGTTCTGTAAAACAGTGGAATTCCAGTCCAGCCAGAGCAGAGCAACCTCACAAACACTCCATGGGATTAGCTGGAGCACCAGAGAGAAACTTCCCTAGACGTAAGTGCAATTTCAGAAATCAAGGGCCGCTTGTGCTGTACCATCCAAAATGTCCAGCATATTAACAAAAATTTTATACGTGTAAGAAGCAAAAAATGTTGACCTGTAATTAAAGACAAAAATAATAAATTACAGAGTTAATTCAGAACTCATTCAGACCTTGAACTGAAGCAGATGTTAGCAATCATATATAAGAAAGTTAAAATAAATAGTAGAAAATATTTAGACTCAAGTGAAAATCAGGCTGTATTAAACGAGCACATAGAAAATCTCAACAGAGAAAATGAAGCATAAAAAAGAAACAAATGGAAATTTCAGAAACAAAAAAAAAAAATCTATGAAAAAATTATTGGGTGATCAGATGAGACATGGCAGAGAAAGTGACAGACCAACTGAAGTTATCTGATCTGAAATGCAGAGAGAAGTGAGATCAAAATAAAACAAACAGCATGTCAGTGATCTATGGTTATCAAGCAGCCTTCTACGCTGTAACAACTTATCAGAGAGGAGAGTGGGAGCAGGAAGAAATATTTGAGGTAAGTATGGTCAGATTTTCCCCAGATTTAGTGAAAACACACCATCCTATAGAAACAAGAAGTCTAGAAAATCCTAGAGTAAAAAGAAAACCAAGCCAAGGCATATCACAGTCAAAATTCTAAAAATCAAAGATGAAGAGAAAACATTAAAAATGCAAGGGAAATAACAGTGTAGCAGTGATGAACCATCACATTCAGAAGACTAGCGATTTAACAGATAGCTGAAATCTTATAAATGACAGAGGTCAGGGCCTCCCCTGTGGTGCAGGGGGTTAAGCACCGCACTATGAAGCTATCTGCAGCCTCTGCAGCCCCAGTTGGTTTCCCTGTCAGGGAGCTACCCACATGGCACAGCAGACCTCTCCTGTCTCTCTGCTGCTCCCCTCAGCAGAGAATTTCAATCTGCCTGTTTTGTTCCCCCCTCTGTCTCTCTCACCTCCCACATCTCTGGCCTGTACCCCGGCTCCTGTATGCATAATTAAATAAATCTTAAAGGGAAACAAAAGAGGAAAAGCTTTAAAAAACAAAAAACACAATGACGGTCAGTAACCATGTGATGAAATTATTGTAGCTCAGAGGGGGAGGCGGAGGGGGAGAAAGGTTCAGGTAAAGGAGAGCTGACAGGGTCATTGTTGACAGACCCTCATTACAAGAAATAGTAAATGAAGTTGCTCAGATCTAGAAGGATGATTTAAAGAACAGAAGAAAGTGAGCCACATGGATAATACAAAAAGCATCGAGTCTTTTTGCTTCTCTTAAGTTCTGGAAAAGACAACTAACTATTGCACCAGTGTCAGCAGAGGTCTCAATAATCTTTTGGTCACCCACTGACAAGAAGTGGGGTGACCTTCACCGCAGGGCGAATCAGAGCCACCGGCACCACAGCCCTCCAGGCGCCTTTGCCGTGTCCACCGCCAGCTCCCAGCACATCGACCCCGAGAGCTGTGGGTGGCCTCTCGCCAGGTGCTACGTAGCCGCTGTGTGGAGACGGTGCTGGGCGGCCTCCCACCGCCTTCTGAGGTGGACTTCTGCCGTGCTTTGGGGCCTTGTTCTCTCGTCTGTGAAGCTTGCCCGAGTTTTTCAGTATGTCCTCTAACTCCCCAATCTGTTTCCACATTTTGTGGACTCTCACAGCACCTCATATTACTTATTATTTACAATCGTGATGTAATAACTTCCCCTCCACCTGTCCATACAGGCCTGGACATGGTGGGATTCATGTCTGCACCCCGGAACCTAATAGAAAACCTGATATAATGTGCGTATTTAACAAATGTGTGTGGAGCAGGCTGAAAGAATACAAAGTTTAGAAAACACACACCTGTTTCCAGGCATTTCTTAGTGGGGGGATGTGTGTGTGTGTGTTCTCTGATCCTCCCAGATTAAATAATGATATATTTTCTTTCTATCTTGTTGGACAACATAGTGTTGTGTTCATTTGGCAGAAGAGGAACGGGAAGCCCAAGGTCAGCCTCTGATAGGAACACACAGAGATGGGCTCACTCACCAGGGTCTGAGCCCCAGCCACATCACCCAGTACGAAAAACCTGAAAGCACAGTCGTGTGTCCCTCATGCTCAGGGAGATATTCTGAGAAATGCAACATTAGGTAGTTTTATCATAGTGCGACTGTCATAAGTGTAATCACCCCAGCCTAAATGGACTACACTACCACATACTTAGACCATGTGGTGTAGGCTCTTGGGAAGCCGTCTAGATCCTCATGGGTCCATCGTTGACTAACATATCATGCGGTGACTCGTGACTGTAGAACCGCAGGCACCCGGACACCAGCCGGAGAAGCTGGAGAGGGAGGCTCAGCCACAGACCCACAGGGGGCACGCCCAGCAGGACTGCGTGCCCACAACTGCCATTTCAGGACCCACCTTGGGCCCCAACTTGGTCGAGGGTCGAGGGCTCTTGTGGCTCTTTGGACGAAGAAGGTGGTCTTATTTAATTATGTTCACAGCTCCTTGGCCCCCACAAACCCAGTCATGAGTTTCTGTATTTGCCAGCTGCTGAGTTATTCACAGTTGAAAGCTGTGTACATCGAGGACAGCAGCCTTTGAAGCCGTTCTGGAGCACACCAGTGCTCCCTTCTGCCCTAGCCCGCAGCTGGGAAAGATGCCCACCTAGTTTTGCAAACGGCTATGATGAATCACGGCCCTCAAAGGCAAGTGTCAAGCTGACCTAATCCCCGGGTGGGGCAGAGTGCTGGCCATGAGATCGTCCACTGTCCACTGCACGTGCTTCTGTGGACACGTCTGGCTCACATTTTCAGGTTTTATTAAAAACGAATCTCAAGGGCTCCCCAAAGTCGTCTCACATGATCAAAACTCATCTAAGGAGAGAAAAATGGAGGCAGTGAATCCACAAAGTTGACCGAGGGCAGGGGGCAGGGAGCAGGCAGGCCCTACGTGCCTCTCTGGTTGGGGCTTTGGGTCAGACAAGCCCTAAGGAGCCCACACTCCTATAAAAGGGTTCCAGGGACTGTTCTAAGCCGTGAGCCGGGAGACTGTCTGTCATCCTTCTGAGAGGGAGGAGGGTCGTGCCCTGGGTGGGGCTTGAGCTTCTCTTAACAAGAGATCTACTTGGAGAGCTCTGGGACTTCAATTTGCAGGGAACTGGACAGAGAAAAGGGGAAGGGGAGGTTGTTTCAGGCAATAGGGTTCACAAAGTCATCATCTGGCTGCTGAATGTCCAGATTTCCCATAGGAGATAAGAATTAAGTGGAAAATGAAGTCTAAAACTTGTAACATGGCCAACAAGTCACTGGTTGATTGGGCTTGTGCCTGAAATATTTCCTGCAACACTTGATTAATACAAAGTAATATTCTCAATGTCTAGGTGGATTTGAAACATAATTATAAACTTGTTTTATATAATGATAAATATATACTTTTATTTTATAAAAATATTTTATTTTATAAAAATATATATTTATAAATATATATATATATATTATATATAAAAATATATGTGAAATGGCATAGATATTTCTTTCTCTGTGTGTATATATATAGTAGTGATGTGTATATGTGTGTATGTATATATACACATGCACACTTCTTTTTTTACACTTTTCAAATGCTTTGGGCAGAAGAGGTAAATTTAATGGAACTTTAAAACACAACTAAATGGTAATTAAAATAATATATGTCAAAACTCATAGGAGATAAATATATTACTTTTATCAAATGTTTTAGTTCATCTAATGAGATTCAGAAGATATTATGCTACATCTATAGATTTTTTTCTTAATTTATAAATGGCCCTTGCATTATTGAAATAAATCCAACTTTGAGTATCTCTTTTGTTACAGTACTATATTTGGTTTGTTAATATTTTATTTAGAGATTTTGCAACCATGGTCACACTTGTGTCAGAACTTTTTTTATACAGTCTTTGTTTGGCTTGGTGTTGAGGATATAGTGACCTCTTACGATAAATAGATGGAGGGGGGTGGTTATTCCCACTTTCTCATATTCTCTGAAATAGGTGTATAAGATTGGGAGAACAGGCTTAAGAGGTGGCGGCATCCGCGAGGAGAGCCATGGGTCAAGCTGCCAAGGTTTTGCAGTTCTTTAAAACACTGCACAGGACCAGAAAACAAGTTTTTAAAAATGATACCAGAGAATTAGAAGCAGCCAGAATAAAGATAAATGAAGAATTCAAAAGCAATAAAAGTGAAACTTCTCCTCAGAAAATAGAAGAGCTAATTAAAATAGATTCCGATGTTGAATTGTTATTCCAAACACCTGTTATACAAGGTATTCACGCAAACCACAGTACACTGAAATTGATACCAAGGAAAGACCTTCTTATAGAAAATGTGCTATATTGTGACTCACCAATTCAGAAACAATGAATTTCTAGGATAAAAGCAAGTCTTTGCACTTTTTAATTTTAAAATATATAACTTGCAAAAGTCAAAAAAAAAAAAAAAGATTGGGAGAACAGTTATTTAAAGTAATCACCTAAAATCTCACTCATAAAAACTATGCAGGCCTTTGAGCAAAGGTTATAACCTTCAATTCAAGGTGTTTAATGTTTCTATATCTTCTTAACTACATTTTGATAAGTTATCCTCTCCTAGAATTTGTCATTTAATCTGTATTTACATGTTTATGCCAAAATACTGTCAAGGTTAGCTTTATCTTACCATCTCTGCTCTTCTGCATTTAGGGCAACCTTTGTAATATTTTATTTTTGTGACTATATTTTTGTCTTTTATTAATCTCTTCATAGACTTTTTTCACATTGTTATGATATTATTAATTCTATCTTTACCTCCTTCTTCATTTATTTATTTATTTTTAAAAGATTTATTTATTCATGCATACAAGCACCTGGGTACAGGCCAGATGTGCGGGAGGGTGAGAGGATCCACCAGAGACAGAGCGGGGAACAGAACAGGCAGACTGAGCAAAATACACTGCAGCGGGGAGCAGCTGCTAAGACAAGAGAGGTTTCTGCCGCCACAGGTGGGAATTTCCCCGCCGGTGGGGATGGAACCCAAACTGCAGAGGCTGTAGACAGCTTTACAGCGCTTCGTGCAACCGCCTGCGCCACCAGGAAGGCCCTTCATTTATTTTTGTTCTTAACTTCTTTCTGGAGTTACTGTCCAAAATTCTCAAGTTAAGTACTTAGCTCCTCAAGCTTCAACCTTTATTTTCTAAAACGTTTAAGGTGTATTTTAAGAACAGCATTTAAAAATGTTGTTTTGGCAATTTCCCATGAATGTTGATACATTATTTTCATTATCATTCAGTTATCATTCCATTAAATTTAACTCTATGCCCATTTTTTTTTTTTTATTGGGTTCTTTGTTTTCTTTTTGCTGAGTCATATGAGTTCTTTGTAGCTCTTGGCTGTCAATCCCTTGTTGGGTGTGCGAATATTTTCTCCCATTCATTAGGATATCTTGCCATTTCAATGATCGTTTCTTCCGCTGTGCAGAAACTTTTCAGTTTGATGTAGTAATGCTTAAATTAAAAACATTGTTTTGTGACATAAAATGTCTTTGAGGTGACATTGTTGAGTCCAGTTTCTTGTTATTCTCACTTTTGGTTTTAGCTTTTGTCTGCCCGACAGTAAGCTGAGTAGGACCCTTAGGGAAGGAGCATGTTGATGGGACTCAGGAAAGACAAGAAAAATGCTAACTGTGGTCCCTGCTCAGGAAAGAAAAGCCCGATTACCCCCTCCCCCAAATAAATGATAAGGCATAATCAGTTCCACCTCCTGAGTATTGATGCATATCAGACGCCATTCACCATTCACAGCACTCTGCTTGCATTTTTTCACTCAGTCCTCACAACTCTTGCCAGTAGAGTCCAGCACTACCCTTGTGTTATAGACGAAGAGAACACATCTTCAGTAAGTACTCAAGTACACCCAGTTTGCAAGTTGCAGACAAAGCATTTAATGTCTGGTCTTGATAGCTCCAAAGTTCACACTGCATTATTGGGCAGGAGTCTGATGGCGAAAAAGTGCAGAACGAGGGCACACAAACATTCTATAACAGTTTGGCTTCAGCCAGGCCCAGGGGAAGGTAAAACTTACGCTCTCTTTTAGCCCCCAAGTCTCAAATCAGTCATTTCACTCTAAAACCTCCCTTGCCCTGTTGAGTTTGATTTAAATGCACCTTAGCCAAAGATTATAATGGGTGTGGGGCTAGGGCATATGGAGAGGGTGCCTGGCTATGCTTCAGATCAGGTAAAACAGATTTTCAGACTCCATTCCATCCCCACCCCTCAAGGGACCCCGAAACAGCTCAGCTTGTGAGAACCATCACTCTTCCTAAGATCAGCAAACCAAGGCGTCCAACCACTCCACAACTGAAGACTTACAAAATTTTAAACTATGTTATTTGATAAGGGGACAAGCAGTTTTCTAAAGAAGGAACAAACAGTACGCAGGGGAAAGAAGGCAAGAAGCCAGGAAAGATTAGGAGAAAGTTGTGTAATGCTCTTATTTCCACCCAAGCAGTGTACCCCGCGATCTGGCTCTGAGGTTTTAGCTGCTGGAGTGGGAGGAATGGAAGCCACGAGCCACTGTGTTGGGAACTCGGAGAGGCTGGAGAAGCACTGGCAATTCTAGAAGGACTTTAAGAAAGAGGAAGAGATACCCTGGAGATTTTGTTTTTATTTTTATAAATTTATTGATTTTTAATTATTTTATATATTTTTACATCATTTTTCAGTTTTGTACAATATATGCATTTTCATCTTGGTTATAGTTTCTGTAAAATTCCCACCACCTATTCACCTGTGAACTATCACCATGGTCCCTTGTGCTCTTCCCACCCTTGTTTTGATCCTACTCCCTTCTCCTCCCCATGTAGTGTGTCTCTGATTTATAGTTGCCTGTTGATTTTGATTTTTACTTTATTATAATTAGTTTTTTTTTCCTGATCCCTTTTTTTGATCCTCTACATTCCTACTATAAGTGAGACCATCTGGTATTTTTTTTTTTTTCTGGGTTATTTCACTGAGCATGATCCCTTCCAGCTCCATCCATGTTGCTGCAAATGGCATGAGTTTTATCTTTTTGGATTGCTGAGTAATATTCCATGGTGTATACGTACCACATCTTCTTGATCCAGTCATCTATTTTGGGGCATTTGGGTTGTTTCCAAAGCTTAGCTATTGTAAACAGTGCTGCTATAAACATAGGGGTGCAGGTGCCCTTTTGAATTAATGTATCTCAGTCCTTTGGATAAATACCTAGGAGTGGAATTGCTGGATCATATGGAAGCTCTATCTTTAGCAGGTTGAGGAATTCTCCACACAGCTTTCCATAGTGGTTGGATCAGTTTGCACTCCCACCAATAGTGCAGGAGAGTTCCTTTTTCTCCACAACCTCACCAACATTTGTTGTTGCTAGTTTTTTTAATATGTGCCCTTCTCACTGGTGTAAGATGGTATCACATTGTAGTTTTACCCTGGAAATTTTGTTTGCCAGTTAGCGTGTGTTGTTGATGGTGTTGGGGCTGGCACCTCCCAGGGCTGGGCAGCCCCTCCCCACTCAGGCTCCCCTGGGTTCTTCATGTTCTTTGAGGGGAGGATCTGGGCATCATCACCACTTTTCCTTCACCCCCTACCACCTTCATCCTCACCCTACCACCATCCCTGACACCAGGTGGGATCCCAATAGCGTGTTTGATCTAAACCCCACAAACGGCGAGGCCAGCTCACCATGGTGAGGCGTTCTTTGGTTTTCTCTTCCGCAACATCATTGTTCATCTGTCAAGAGAAATCTGCCATTTCAAAAAAAGCACAATCCTCAGATCTTCTTGTGATAGTTCAATATAAATAAAATATTGATAGCTCTAGTTTCAAGATCCAAGACAAATTCAGTAGGAAAAATATCTCAGAACATATACTTTACTGGAATACAAATTCTTTATTTATGGAGTTGTGTGTGAAGAGTAGGTGGAGACATTAACCTCCCCTGACCTTCAAAACAGTCCATTCAGGAACCCAAGATTAGAAATTCTGACAGTCAAGTTGGAACTAGAAACTTGCCTCACACCCATCCTCAGTATCAGAACAGATCCTGCTTTGCATCATTTGTTCTTAATTAAGATGTCAAAGGCAGGCCTCCCTGGTGGCACAAGAGATTAAGCATCAGCACTATGAAATAATCCACAGCTATTGCATTACGAGTTTGGTCCCTGGACAGGGAGCTGACCCACATGGCGCAGCAGACCTCCCCTGTCTCCCCACTGCTCCCCTCAGCAGTATATTTCAGCAGATTCGCCTGTTCTGCTCCCTACTCTGTCTCTGACGAATCCTCTCACACACACCCCCACCTCTGGCCTACACCCTAGTTCTTGTATGCATATATAAATAAATCTTTAAAAAAATAAAAATTTAAAAATAAGATGTCAAAAGTGAGGAATAGGGCCCCACTCATGTCCAATCATTCACAAATACTTTAAACTGACATCAAAAGAATCCCAATTATGTTCCCAGCCTCTCATCCTTCATCCTCACAGTGAGCTTGTTACAGAGCAACCCCAACAGGAAGTGGGGTAACCTGGTTGTGAGTCCTCATCCTCACACTTAAGAACTCAGGACAAAGCTCAAAAGCAAGCACACAGGGAAAAGTTAATACAAAGATTTATTTACAAGGGAAATACGAAGAGGGAGAACACAGACAGAGGTTGCCTACATGTCCCATGGGTAATGCCGTCTGAGCTGCGCCCCCAGGTGCATGCTGAAGGCAGACAAAACCGACAGCATAGGCCTGCATGTGTTTGGCTTTATACCAAATCTGGCTGCTTAATTCCACCCTTAGTTCCCAGCAACCTGCTCTTCAGGAAATCAAGAGTCATGGTAGATTCATGGCGTGATGGGAGTTTTAGTCCTCTGATCTTGATCCCTCTTTGGCATGGAAATGAGGATGGAGCCTCCAAAACATCAGTGGGTGGAGTTCATTCAGGACACACTGTTCCTCCAGCAAGCCCCTGGCCAAATACATGGGTCATGCAACAACTTACTTACTGAGCGTGGGGTTTCATCAAGAATGTGTGCTTTGTTGGCCATGAACTGTTAAAGCTGGGACTACTGAGGAGAGCATGAATGAATAAATGAATAAAAGTGTTAACGTTGACTATGAATAAATCCACCCAGTGACATTTAGGCCACTTACAGGGATTCAAAGTTGGACAAAAGGCAGCAGACACTTTCACATGGTGGGGGAGCACAACTTCGCCCACTCTGCAGCAGGACCCAGAATATGGCCTTTTGGCAAAAGGTTGATTTCATGGGAAGGGCTCAGAAGGCTGATGGAGGGTGCTTTTGAGAAAGATATTTGTCTAAACTTCTTTCTGTAAGGGCATCTCCTGGGCGGGCCTGAACTCCGTATCTCTTCAATGAAGACAGCACTTACATCTGCATCTCCCTCTGCTG